GGGGGGGGGGGTTAAGTCGTTATTTTACTTCGTCTGGCGCCGTTGTGACACTCATCATGCATGCGTTCCTCTCGGGATGTACCGTATCAAGGAGTTATTATTAATAGTTTGATTAGGTTTTCAAAAAATCGTTCTTCTACTATGATACTGCACACAACAAACAAACGCGACATCTGAAGCCGCCGTGCGCTGGTGCGGCGAAAGAAAAGATGCCTCTACGTCGCTCGTCTCCGTCTTCGAAAGGTCGTGTCTGCACAGATTGGGATACAACCTACAAATATCTTGGCTTGGGAAGGTATGCTTTCGTTTGTGTCTTTTTTCTTAAGGAATGCACTCGACTGCATCTCTCATTCTAGATTTTGATTCCGTCTTCTTTTCATACACATGCATATTAGGAATGTTTTCCACGCGCCGGTCGATGTACCCCCCCAAAGACAAGCAAGCGGCAACTAACCACAAGCAATCTCAACACGGAACACCTTCCCTGTCTTGATTACTCTCCAGCGGTATGCACCAATCTTCTTCAAAATGGGCAAAATGCTCACTTCCATCAGCACATGACCCTATGGTGTAGTCGGTAACACTGCAGACTCTGAATCTGCCACCCTGAGTTCGAGTCTCAGTAGGGTCACTTTCTTTTTCGCCATTGTCCAGACATGGGGTTTTCGTCGCGAAGCAGCCGCGTATATTAGTACGGTTGCTGTTTTTTTTGTTGTTTCTCTTATCTCTCTTTTGCTTTTGCCGTTGCTTTTGCTTTCATACATCTGGCTGTCTACCCATCTGCCGCCTCTTTGTTATGTTGGCTCCATTACTTCCATGCCCTGGTGCGTAGTGCCTGGTGCTGGTACGTTACCCTTTATTTTTTTTTGGCAGGTGTGGGAAGCGTCCTCCTTTTTGTTTTTATCTTTATTTTTGTTTTGTTTTATTTTGATCGGTTTCCGAGGGCTCTTTTCTCGACCGGTCGGTGCAGTAGCTCTCCTTTCCTGTCTATCATGTTGTTTTATTTTTTCCGAGTGGGCTGTACCCTATTTTTGTTTTGCTTTCCCATGGCGTCGTATGTGCCGGGTTTTTTTAGCCCACGGGCTCCCCATTTTCGTGGACTAAAGAGCTAATGTGAGCAGGAGTTCAAGGTACCAACAAGGCAGAGTAGGCAGGGAGGACATGAAAAAAAGAAACACAGCACGGAGGCCGAAGGCAATACAAAGGACATACATAAAGGAGTATTGCATACAGGAGGGAGGGAAACAGGGTGCAACAACATCAGCCGGGTACATAGTTCGCCACAAGTGCTGCCTCGGCCGCCCTACTCGCTTCTACAGCAGTGCCCGGTCGCCGTCTCTTCTCCACCACCGCCGCTTCCCCGGATCTCTTTCTCTTCGGTCCCGAGGTGGCCGTACTCTCTGCTTCTGCTTCCCTCGCGCGCTGGCGCTTCGCGGACGCTTCCGCCTCCTGTCTGTGCCATTTCCACATGAACTATGCCGCCCCGTCCTCGACCTTGTTGTACCACACCTACGGGTCCTTGGCGCTCTCTTTCCATTTCCCCCCTTCCTTATCGTCTCCCATGTTGAAGGCCACGAGGTCCTCTCCTAGACGAGACACCCAGTCGCTCTCCTGCCCGCCCCGGTATCCCACGCCCCCCGCCATCGCTCCTAACAGCATGCGCTTGGGGAGGCGGTCGTCCTCCATGCGCATAACAAACCCCGCGAAACACAGTCTCCGTTTGCGCACGGTGGCCTCGATGGTTTCCTCGCAGCCGGCCTGGATGAGGGCCTGGGCATAGGACAGGGGGC